GTATATTCAGACTTAGCTGAAATGTATACTGTTCATGCATGTTTTTTGTTTTCTTGACAGTATTTGATCTCTGCCACTGCAGAAAAAGCTTCTAGTTGGAGTATGAGTTTAGACTTAACATTATTCCATTTCTTCTTTTTTTTTTTTCCCTCCTTTTTTTTTTTTTGTGTGTGTGTATCTTATGCAAGGTCAGATCACACAAACTCGTCCCATCTGAAAATCTCCATGTAATTCGGTGGGACTAGTCAGATAAGATTTGGAGAATCAAGCTCATTTCCATTTTTCATTTTACTGCAGTATTTACAAAAGACTGAACAACTGTCAGTTCAAACAAAAACCTGACTGACTGAAGAAAATGTCTGTGTAGCTTTTGCTCTCTAGAATTAATCAATTAAGTGGTCAAAGCTTAATTTCATTAAAAAGACAGGAGATAATGTAACGTTTAGCAACATTAAAAGGGAAAGTGCATTCTAAAGAGGGACCTTGATTCCTTTTAATTTGCAATTAATGCAAGGCTAAAATAGCACAGTTCAAATACAGTAAAGATTTTAAACTGTGTCAAAAATACACATCTCAGCTAAAGCTACGATACAGAATTTGTACCTTTTTCCTGATGAGCAGCTGTTTTAAAATATTTATATATCAGCTTAGCTGTACTTCACCGAAGAGAATAAATAAAAAAAACCCAACATTGAAAGAATCTGAAGTATTTTTCCTTACCACATCTCAGCTCTTTATGTTTGATTTATAGAACAAGATATTTTCCCTTGGCTTCTGAATTTGTGGTATCAGTATGAATTAACAATTCAACAGCCCCACCAGTAGACAGAGAGTTCACCTTGTTGCAGATTTCAGTCTAAAGAACATAGGTAGGACTGCAGACAATGCCACCTGGCTTTTAGGCGCTGGACTCAGGTAGAAGACGCCAGAGGACTCCTCCTGCCTTTACTCAATGCTCATCTGAAGCAGAGGGAGCGCTGCTGTTGACTCCAACGCTTTCTAATTACAGACCCTTAGTGGCGTCCTGTGTGATTGTGGGCAACGGACTTTACTTGGTCTTAGCTTCATTTTATCCATCTGTTTAACAGGTGTAAGCAGATAGTGACTTGGCTTAGACTCAAGATGGTGAAACATCTCTCATTGATCTGAATAGTTTTGGATGAGGCCTCAAGTGAAAGAAGCCTGAGTGAAAGAAGCTTTCAGGAGATGCAGATTTTTTTCCCCATCCATGAATTATGCATGAGTACATTGTGATGGTCTTGATTCTATCCTCTATTTTGAATTTATTCATCTTAATTCCTGCAGATTTTTTTTTTTTTTGATCTGTAGGCTGTTTGCAAGCATTTCTGAGAATCTCTACTCAAGCAGCTGCTAACTTCCAGGTGGGGCTGAAAACGCCTCGTCTTCCCCCAGAAATCAGGATGGAAGGTGGCAACACAAGACCATGATTCTTGCATCTCTTCCCTCCCATCTTTTGTTCTAATTCTGTCTTTATTCTATTTGTCTTATGCTTCCTTGTGCGTACTTCTTAAGAACTGGATGAGAATGGATCCGCTGGGAAACACTGGCTGTGGGCATTTCACTCAAGATTCTGCCACGGTTTTGAGAGAGACAAGAAGAAGGGAAGAAAATGTTTGGTTAATTAAGGTGGGTTGGCTAACATTAAATCTGCCTTCCCTTGAGTACTAAGGACTTGACCTTGAATACCAATAATCTTTGTTGTATTCAGGTACACTTGTACACAATTCTCCTTCTCCTAAAAGAAAGACAATAGAAATAGATTTTTTACAGAAGTATAAAAAACCTTAACATAAGCTCATAAACTTATGCTAATAAGACCATAAAATCACAGCTGGGAACCTAAGCTAGATGCCTTGCATCTCAAACTGGTAGCACTTTGGATACTGAATTACCAGGAGAGAGTTGTCACCTTGCAAGGCCTCAGCATGTGAAGAATGGGGTCAAATGCAAGAAAAGGGGAGAAGACTGCCTGGAATTGCTGTGAGGAGCTCCTGTCCAGGAGAAGGAGATGGAGTGTAACTTGGGAGGAGGGAAATGCCTTGAACAGAATTTCAAATGGAAAAACATGGGAAGCCTCTACCTGTCAAAATGCTGGAGAGATTTGTTCGCATCAAGTTTCAGTGAGCTGTTGCAAATTGAAGTGGGATTAGGACCTCTCAGAAAATGTTACAAGAACACTCTGCAGTGAAAATTTTTCTGCAGACTAAACACCTGAAGATGTTACTACCTTCCCTATCGTATATGCTTATTAGTATACCTTTATTTATGGATTCACTCTACTCTGACTGAATTAAATAGCTAAATAAATATAAAATTAAATCATGTCGTATTAGACCCTTCCATTAAATCCTGGGGCTTGAATAATTTGCATTTTGTTTTGTTTTTATAATGCATGCTTATTTTAATTACTACTGCTGCACTTTATTTGTAATTGTCTGTGCAATGCCCAAGCACCTTGCTAAGTGGATAAGGGAAGCACTTTATTCCATAATAACATAATTAATCCATTATTATTCATTATTATTTTTTTCTGGAATGGACTGAAAAGAATCAGGACTTTGAAAAATACAATACCAACAAATTATCTATGGCAAAAATAATTTTAACAGAATTCATACTTTCCTTATCTTCACCATTGTTTCCTTCTAGATACCATCTCTCCTAAAGAGAGAAGCAGCAGCATTTAATGACCTGAAGATTGGTCTAAATGCCAAAGAGGTTTGAAATCAGAGATCTGTATCCCCCCCCCCACCCCCCCCCCCCCCCCCGGCTTCCTGCATGGCCTTGGACAAGTCATTTAACCACTCTGTGTCCTTATTTCCCTGTTTCTGATGGCTACAGTCCCGACATTCACCTTCTTCGCAACAGTAAAGCTTACTTCGCTGATGTGCAGAGCTTTGCAAATGATGTATGCTAGGTATTGTGGCAGCATAATCAAAGGGACACAATGATGGCTGGATAAAAGAGGAGGCGTTTCCTAGCTATGCAGGATTCTTGCTTACCGAGCGAAAGAAGGCACTCAGTTTCTTCTGATATCCTCGCAGATTCCTCCTGAATGAATATCCCGTCTTCATTGAATTTTCTTATTACGGAGGATTATGCAACTCTATTACCTCTTGAAGTTTTGGAAGGAGATCCCTGCATACTCTTTCATGGTAGGCACAAACACATTCTGCTGCATTTTCCTTTGGCACACGCTCTCTGTAGAAACCTGGAAGGTCAGGGCTGGTCTTACCATTTTTGTCCACCAGTCACCACACCCACACAGAAAACAGATTTCTTTCTGATTCTCCTAGCCTGCTTGGTTTTAGCTTACCAATCCATGGCTGTAGGTCTCTGTTTCATTTATCACAAAGATTTGTTAGTAGAAACTAGGCTAATGAGGCTGGTCAAGCAAATCAAAGATGCAGAAACAGTGAATGAATACCTTGAATCCACTCTGCCCAGTAAGAGTCACATCTTCTGGTCAGCATTCCAGCACCATGACACGACTTCCAAGCTGTTTTGCCCAGCCCAGATCACCCAAACCAGGATGATTTTTTGAGTTAGTATTGCCTTAAAAATACATGCCACGATCTGGCTGACTATACCTGGACAGGCCAGTACAGTGTCTGTGACCCTTATTTCTTCATCGCTTTTATCCAGCTGAGCTGGAAAGGAACATGATGGCCGCTGCAAAGACAGAACTCTGCGCAGGGCTTGCCTGAAGAGTTAAAACATCCTCCTCTGTTCTGCAAGATAAACAATCTCTGCCTGAAGTCTCTCCTAACAAGGACAAGGTAGTTGTGTGCGCGTGCGTGTGTGTGTGTACATGAGCATATGTGAGCATACCCATAGCTATCCCTGGTTGTTTCCCAGAATGTATTAATGCCAAAACGAACATATGTGAGCGTACCCATAGCCATCCCTGGTTGTTTCCCAGAATGTATTAATGCCAAAAGCACATTATTTCCAATGGTGTCCCTGGACTCTCTTCCTGTGAGGCAAGACTGAAATGATGCTGCTCAGTGGTGTCTCTGAAAGGAGACAGCATACCAGCACAATTTCCCAAACGATCACTTCCACTCTTCCCCAAATACAGCTTAGGTGTTTTCACCTCCCCTGTCTTTCTGTGCTTTTTTTTTTTTTCACATTCTCCTATAACCATCTCTCCCCTTGCTAAATAATGCCTGTTCCTGCTCAGTCAATCCCCTGTCACAAAGCATTAATGACAGACACACTAGGCAATGAGATGGAGGGAGGTCTCCCCTAAAACTTTCCAATAAGTGTGGGAGATTTGAATGCTCTTACTCCTTATTCACTCTGGGGTCTTCCCCCAACACTCAGGGGACATATGGCAATGTTTCACAATCCCCCAAAGCCATCTCTAAGTGCTTGCAAGAGAACTGTGAACAGCAGTTCTTTTTTAGGAGGAGTCTGCGAACAGCTTCTAATCCTGGTGATCCTGTTTGCATCAGTTTACATTCCCAGGGCTATCTGTGAACAGAAAAGACTGGAAATACACCTTTCAGCTCATCTGAAACAGAGATTCTCCTTTACATTGCTCAGTTCCTCACTTCAGGAAATCCTTGCTACGGTGCAGGTTTTGCTGATCTGAAAAGGCAAAACAAGAGTAGTTCTACACTCAAAATCACCTACTTAAAACCAGTTGGGTTTTGTTATGTGGCCTTGCACCTTTTGTACACTCAGTCAAATCTACTGACATGCTTGTCTAAAACCAGGTCTGACTGCTCGTTACACCTCCGGGATCTTCAGCGCCCACAGTGATTGGAAAGGATGCTGCTTTTTTACCCTTTACAGAAATCATCAAAATTCTTCATTGATCTACACAGTTCCTGAAAGAAAGTTTATTAACCTTAGCCACATTACTTATTGATGAATATAATAGCACACAAATAGTTTCTCAAACTCAAGTTTGTAGGTTTGAGAATTCTTAAGGCTGTGGATGAGGAAAAGCAAGGGAAGGGATTTCTTGAGAAATGAAGAAAACCTGCACGGAGTCTAACAGCAAAGGCCCTGCCTTGTCACTTCTCTGGTATTACATCCACAGCCTCCACATCCCCCAGCAAAACTCCACAGTAAGTCCCAGTTTTCTTCCTAAGAACCCAAAGGTCACCAAAGACTCAGAAGGAGTGACAGACTTGCAGGGAAGCAGCGGATCCCTCTAACATCCATTTTCCTCGGTAACTCCTTCCCTCAGGTTCCGATTTAGTCCTGCCTTCTGCATCCTCACCAGCTAAGAGTGAAAAAGAGGACGGTTTTCATCAGGGCAGCCAAACCCAGCCACAATTATTCAAGTCACTTTGAACAAAAAGTTTAAAAAAAAAATATTAAAAAAACACTGTCACCCGGGGGAGGGGGGAAGAACAGCAACACCGGCAAGTGCCATTCAGGGAAGAGCGAAGAAAGGGGGTGCTGGAGAGGCTGCAAAGGGCTCGGCGGAGGGGCACGGCTGGGCCCCGCTCCC